CGTGCACCCTCTTAGGACTCACAGAATGTAACTCACCAGCAGTTTGTCATACACCACTGCTCCCAACTCCCTACTTTTTTTTTAACTAAAGTCAATTAACTTCATTCTTTTTTGACTGAGGGAAAACACCACACTGACTTAGCAGGTTTAGAACAATCTGTGTATTAAACTTGTCCTAAACTGTCACATCTGGATTTAGAGACACTGAAAAGTACCACATAACAGGAACTTGCTTTACTCAATATATGTCAAGAACATTAAGTTTCACCCCACCAAGGCTCAACTAAACCACAACAATAATTCTCTGCTACAAAAGGAAACAAGCTGTTAATGTGGCACGGCGCTAACTAGCTACTACAAGTTTCCCTCAAGGCCCGGGCAAATTGGAGTTCGGCGTGATAATGAGCAGATTGATGGAGCTGGTTGAAAGCTTTTATTATGCAGCCAGGAGCGGCTGCGGCTTTGTGTGCATGCGTGTTCTTGAGAGAAACGGCTGAAGAAGTGCGTCATCTGGCCAAGTTTTCACTCGCGGCCCCGATTGCTTTGGGATTTTCCTCTCAGTGGGTCGTCTGGAGATGTAAACGCGCGAGTGAAGAGACAGGAAAAGAATGAGAAAAGGTCAAGAATTAAGGAAAACTGCAACAGTCGAAGGCGGAGATGCAAAGAGAGAAAAGTATCGATTGCTAACGGAGAGAAATCCAGACGGAAGACGCAAGGGGACGATGAGCTGGTAACAAAACATTTAAACCTCCCCTACTTGAAATTTGATTGATGAATGTGTGAAAATGATGAGCTGGGCGCTTTAAAGAAGCACATAGAAACACCGTCATGCGACAGGCTCACCCATGAAGACAGAAGCAGACAATGAGAACTCACTTGCAGGATACGAGGCAAGAGAAAATGTCAGGAAGACATTTGGCTGCGTCTCTGAGTGCGCTGTTGCGATGTTTCACTGTGAGTGACTGGGGATTTCGAATAGGCAGGAAGCAGAATCACAACAGGGTTTTGGTTTCTAGAATCTCGCCTACATAATGTCACCAAACGGCTAAAGTGGCCACCATACTGGAGGAGGACAAAGGAGGTGAAATATCTCCAAAGCTTTTATTTTTAATTTTTTATTTATTTATTATTATTTTAAAGAATTGAAGTCAAGAGCGGCATCTTGAACTCACCAGGTCTCCATAGCAACCAGAGAGTACTTACATCTTAACCAGTTGTGTGGGAAAGCACATCAGGAAGATGTTTTTTTTTCTTCTTTTTTGGAGTTGCTAAGCTCTTTTACGGGAGCTGTGTTTAGTTTGAATGAGACAAAAACTCAACAAGCAATCAAGATCGATTAGTGATCAAAGTAAAGGATGGATTTTTGGATTTCAATAAGAAAAACAACCAAAAACTGACAATGAAATTTTAAAGTGGAGCCTGAAATGGTAAGACATTTTTAAATTAAAAATTTGCAAACAACAATAGAAACATTACCTCAACAAAAGATTAAAATAAGCATTTCAGATTGCGAAAAGCTAAAAACTAATTATATCATTCCCTTATGGCCTTTAACTTGTCCATTAAAGCAAAAAACAGGTCTAAAATATTCAGAATATCCTACAAATAAAAACACACCTTTGCCCCCTCAAAGTCTCCAGAGTTTCACACAGTGAGTAAATTATGTTTTATCAGTTAAGGCCCAGGTTTTTAGATAGAAGTCAGCTCTACCCAGCTTGAATAGATTGTTTCTCAATAAGCTTCCCTCCTGTTTCCAATGAAAGGAGCTACAGTAATTCTCTGATGCGTCGGATCGCTGGAGTGCTAAGAGCAATTTCTTAATCAAGCAAGAAATACCAGAATTCTGCTGTGATTTCAATAAATAAAAGCCAGCATGACACATTGGTGGGATCCAATTTCCATTCTGAAAGTATTTCAGTGGAAAACTGCCGTTTTCAGATTTGTTATGACATGCTTTAACATTTCAGGTTCCATTTTAAGCGGGGCTTTGTTAACACGAGGTAGAGTGGGAGACAGTAATTTATGCATTATGTACTTTAGTGATTCTAAACTGTCGCTTGATGAAAGCCGAATCTGACTCGCCTATTTAAAAACATACTTGTAACACACGCTCTCTGGGGACTTTCTTTTTTTATATCATTTCATTTTTATTCACTGACAAACATTTCAAAGAGCTCCAAGTAAGTTTAAATGTTAAAATTACATGTTTTTTTGTCTTCCCCCACAAACTCAAATTCACAGAGTTCTCTGTGTTTTTTAAAGTCAGTTTTCGAAGCGAAAACAAGAAACTTTAGGGAGGATTCTCAACAGGAGTCAGACTTTAAATATGGAATCTATAAAAACTGGACGGATGTCGACATGGAAAGACGGACGAGTAGACATAAAATCACAAATGTCGGATGTGGACCTGGACTGAAGGATGGATGGATGAGAATGTAAACCACATGAGAGTTTATAATAAAAACTGAATGTGTAAAATAAAAAAATAAAAAATCATTACTTTCATAATGGTGCGTGATTAAATTAATGTTTAAAACCTTTGGATTAAAAGCTGAACTTACTGCAACAAATGCATGTTAAGACAGGATAAAAATGTATGAAAGTGTATCTTACACTTTCACCCAATAGAATAAGGGGTGTCAGGTTACCTCAGCCAATCACATCGGTTGTCCCGCCTTTAGTTTGCATTTTGAACGCGCTAATCGGCGTGGTGCACAGTAGCAGCTCCGCTGTGATGAGAGCAGCTGGCTGAATTTGTCCCCGAGGTAAATCTTGGGCGTAGACTGAATACTGATGGTAGTTTTTCCAAACACTATTACTTATCCTGAAGGCTCCAGACATTCCTAAGATCTTCTGAAAATGGCCTAAATCAAATGGAATATGTCCGATAGTTAAACACTACCTTTAATTTTTGCTACCCATAACGAAGTGATGCGTTGCCGGATTGCAAGCATGTGGAACGATCGATGGGAAAGTGAGCAGACAACATCCGATGGACAGATTAAACTTTCATACTGGGATATGGAATATTACGTGAACAGAACCTAAACCACAGAGTTCTGCTTTTATTCATTCATTTGAAACATACTCTATATACCTTACCTCCAAATCCCAACTGCATCAAAACTATAGTTCAAAGCAATCAGTCTTAAATCGATCTGAATATCAGTAATCGTGTCTATTTGATAAAACATAACCAGTGCTTATGGCAAAAGAAGCACATGGCCGTTAATCAAAGTTTGCCATACATAAAAGTATTCTTTTGCTTATTACACTGCTACCAAATTTAATCTGTTCTCGCTTTCATTGCCAAGCTGATCTCTCCTCCCTCCACGCCTCATCTATATCAGGATGGATTATTTGCCCTTGGCACACCACTTGGTAGTCTGCATGGCAAGGCAGCCGGTAAGTGGATCTATAGGAAGCTGAAGGAGAAACGTATTCCTAAACTTACCCGCTTGTATATTTGTGTGCTTGTGAGCTAGCCAAGTTATTAAAATGTTAGCAGGTACTATAAATAAAAGAAACAAAGGCCTCGGCGTCTGCAGAAGGTAAAGAGTGCAGAGAGGTAAGAGGGGATGGGGGGGAAACACGGGGCAATCGTAGAGTGAGCACAATCTGAGGGAGCTCAAAGGGGCCTTTATGTGGCAGCAAAAATGGCATTTAGGCAACGAGGAGAACAAGAAGCTCCCGCCTAAACAGAAACCACAGCTGCATATCAACAAGAAAACGTCTCATGTTTAATAAAGGAAGAAAGAAAAAAAGTGTTTAGTGAAGCAAGTTTTCTCATCGGCCTGGAGGAGCTGCATTAGCTGCCACGCATGGAATATATTGCTATATATTATTTGGATCACAACATCCTTCAAATGATGGAGGCAGAGAACGCTGCGTACATTACTCCGTCTTCTCATTCGATTTCTATTTAAACAATATGCAGACTTCCTTGCCAAGGGGGTTTGTAGTTACTGGATCATTCCAGTTGTGAAGGCTTCAGTGTGGGGGGGGCGCGGTTGTTAGGAAACATGAGTGGACAAACCACTTGATGAAGACCAAGGAGACGATAATATTTGTTTCAAGGAATATGTAATGGTAACCATGGTGTCATAATAATGCAAGGACACATCCTCCAAGATCAATAAGTTTTAAATTCTAACATTTAACACTGGAAGTGGAAGGCATTGTAAATATCCACAACAAACAAAACAACAGAAATAACAAATAAAATGAATAATGAAAACTGTCCTTCAAAAAATAGAATAGTTACGACCAAAGCACCAGACTGAAGATGTTCGCCATCCAGTTTTTGGTGGAAAAAGTGAAAAACGATAAATCGTTCAAATGGAAATTATTGAGTTTGTTTTAAATTTATCATGCGATTAATTGATTTATTACTTATTGCGACAGGCCTACGTCAGACCCGAGGCAATACCGTACCAGTTAAAAAGTCAGTATGCTGAAAACTGCATTATTTTCCTTCTTCTCAATTTAATTTTATTCTCTGTTGGTGCATAAAAGAAAAAAAAAAAGGAAGAAGTCTATCTGCCAAACAGTACCACTGAGCTGAAATGCTGAAGAAAAAAAAAAAAGACGGAAGACGAATGAGGAAAAAGGTCAAGAAGTCAAATGAAGAAGTGGTTATGTTTGTGGGTGATGATATTAGATTTTTGTTTTAGATTTAGTGGTTGCTACGGTTAAGAATGCAGGTCTCCTACACAGAGCTGGCAACCAAAGTCACCTTCTGGCAGCTGGCTACTGTCATCTGCTAATGCACTCAGAACTTCTGACCAGCGCGGGTAAATGACCAGGGAGGTAATGAAGAAGGATGTAGGCCATGATCATTCACAGTCTGCCCCGACGTTATTAAAACATACGGCGACAATTCGTTTTCATTTTGCTTGGAAGGACGTGTTCGCCATCGCCATCTACATTCTCCATATGTTGTGGATTTATAACACGCACTCCGAGTCGGACACGGAGTTTTGACAGCGAGGGCAGATTACCTGGAAATCCCGCTCCTCCAGAATCTCTTTCCTCCACCTCACCAGGAAGGCGGCGCACACGTACAGGTGGAAGTGGGAGAAGCCTTCAGGTTCCGCCTGGAAACACGAGGAAATGACAGAGCATAAGCAAAAAAAATAATGAAAGCTAGAATATTACCGCATTCCTTAGTGTTTCTGTTGCACAGCTACTGCGTTCGTAAAATCGACAACGTCTTTGTAGATTCAAATGATACTGTTAAACTCGCTGCAATGCCCTGCAGCAGAGGTCGGCAACTGGCACTTTTAAAAGCAAAAGAGAAATATTTTTTAATTATAAAAACAAAAGGAAAGAGGGATTTAGCAGTTATTCTGCATAGTGAATGTAATATCTGCATACATTATCTACAACAGAATGACAACAGCAGCCCAAGGCTTGTTGAAGCCGGGTGGTATTTTGCTGCAAAACATGTTTTTAGTGTTTAATGAGCAACCCACTTATACACTTATAAACTTTAATTTGTCATTATGGTCATTAATTACGGAAAACACCATGATTAAAATCCCAGAGATTAAGGAATGAATTAACATTTAGGTGTCAAAACTAGATGAATGAATTAATATTTGTGGAAAGTTAGCTGGTTTACATATGTTTACAAGCGAATGAAAAATGTTCATGTGTACTTTTGTACACTATGAATGGAATTTAAGACCTACGAACTTTGACTAGTCAATTGGCAGTAACTTTGCAAAAAAAAAAAAAAAAAGCTAGCCAGCTAACCAGCTTCTTTTTTTGCAAGCTAGCTTCTTTGTATGTAGCTAGCAGGCTAGTAAGGGTAAGTTAGCAGTGAGTTAGCGGTAGCCTCAACCGTCACGATTCGCAAAACGTAATAGAGATGTCTGAGTGCAACTCAAACTGACAGAAAAGTCCTGCGAGAACAAAAAATACATGCATTACACAGTTCTTCCAAGACAAAATTTAAGACCTGGAATTAATGTATTAGAGCCAACATTTTTAGGAGTTCAAGACTTTTTGAGACTTTTTAAAGATGCGCCAACACCAACGGTCTGAAAATCAGCCCCTGTCCCCTTTTGCTGTGCCATGAGTGGGGACATATTGACAACGCCGCCCACCAGGTTGCATCTGCACCTGTATGGCTAATAGCAACTTTTTTGCTAATAGAAGAAAGTTATTCTATTAGCAAGACTCACTTAAAGAAGAGTCACTCTTCTTTAAGTGACTCTTAAAGAAGTGACTCTTAAACTCTTCAAACTCTTCTTTGTTTGAAGAATCAAGTGACTCCTCAAAAAAAGAAAAAAATGGCATTGGTCAAAATCAGAATCGACAGGTCAGGGTTTTTAAAGATCAGTGATCGAACAGAAAACTGCATCCCCAGAGGGCACCCTTTGTCTTTGTGTTTTAAATATAATGAACCAATCAAGGAACTGTTCAAATTTGAGGTAGAAATCGAAGCCGTACACACATCCAGAATGTTTCCTTTTATTTTGCTGTGAAACGTTTCTTATCAGTAAATGTAAATGTCATGAGAGAAACATAGCTGGAGTAAAGAGCAGCGTTCCAAAAAGGAGATCCAGGCACTGTTGGAACAAAACTGAAATGGCACACAAAGGGGGTGGAGTAAATTATGGTAATAATTTGATGCAAAACTTTATATAACATTTCATTTTAGGGGGCACTGAGAGCCATTCTGGCATCTGTGCATCGCAGAGACAGTGCGAGCCTTTCATCACATTTCCTGCTTACGTACACAAGGTATTTAGAGCCGAACATAAAAAGGCAGACAAAGAGAAAACGTGAAATGGAGCCCTTTTTTTTCTGTCAGCAACCCAAAAATTTACATTTGCAGGGTGACGGAGACAAAGGAAGACACAAATCCCTCTTTCTACAGCGCCGCCTTTTATTTCAGGCCCTTGTTACGTTCACCCGCTGCCTTTTTTTTTTTTCTTCCCTCTTTCTGACGCTGCAACGAGCAGGGGGAATTAAAGAGGAAGGAAGACAAAAGGATGAGATGTTCCCTGTTCTATTCATTCCACTCCAGAGCCCCATCAGAGAGAGAATAATTACAGCCCTGTTGAATGGAAGTCACTTAGGAGCGTGCTCATCTAAAGGAAGAAGATCCCAGCATGGGAGAGTTTCTGGATGCAATCACTGCAGGTGTTTTAGTTACATTTAAACAAACTAAAATATATATTGTTGGCTACTTTACTTTCCGACTGGCTGAACTGGGAGTGAATTAAACATATGGGGAGAAAAGGTCAAACGAAAGAGTGACTTATCTCCTTTGGATAGACAGTTTCGGTAATATTTGCAGCCGAAACACAGTTTCCTCTGTTTCCGAGACTGACAGCAATCTGAGAAACGTCCATCTCCGTTTTTACAACATGTCAGGACTTTTTTTTTTTTTTTTGCACTTTTCTTATTTTTAAACGCCGTCCTTCCAACTATTTCACGGAGAAATTGCCATGTGAGACAAGCAGAAGGAGACTATTATATTTCCAGAATATCACAACCCAGAAGCAAGATCAAAATCAGACGGGTTTTTTTTCCCCCTCCAGAACCACGTTAGCTGCGTCACATTGAGAAAAAAAGAAAAAAGAAAAACACAAGCCGACATGTCGTTTGCTTCATCAAATTTAATTTGGGTAATTGCGCCAGTGAATCCCATGGTGTCGTACCTTACATTCACCCAAAAAGTGGCGTGAAGGATAGAGTCGTACTCTTATTAAAACACATCTCTTCATAAATTATTCCTCCACTGTGCTCTCTGGAGTGTCGACGTCGATAGGATTTTAAAAAGTTCTGCTGCTGGGAAAAAAAAAAAAAAAAAAAAAATCTGACTACCCTTGCATTATTTAGTTGAATAAAGTGACTCGCTCAAAGACTGTTACTGGATATTGTGACGTCTCTTCGATGCAAGACAGTTGTTGGAAACTTGACACAGTGTGATAAAATAATGCAGCTGATACTTTACAGGCATTTCCTTCAACAAGGGGGCTCAACAGTTCAAATAAGTTTGTTAAAAAGGAAGTAGAACCTGTATCAGTTTAGGGTTTTGTGTATCAAGACATAAGGGCCTGGTCTGAACTAGGTTCTAAAACTAAAGTATAAATCAAAGAGTTCAACACACAAGGATTAAGCCAAAACGTGAAAAGTTGGATGTGAAATCTGAGCTGTAACATTCAGCAGAGCTTTTCAGTGGAGCTTTATCAATGTCTTGTATCTCTGGGGAGGAATTTGCCACCTTATACTTTTATTTTCCATAAAGTTATTTTTTTTTACTTCTTTGAGGTTTTGTAGATGTAAAACCATTTGAAGGTCCGATTACTGTGTTTCAACACAGCAGCGTACAAGACTTTGATTGTAGCCTCATCGCCACAACTTGATTACTTTTTGTAAAGACAGATATACAGAGAAGCTCATGGTCAACTCGATTACTCCAAGGTTCCCAAAGTCCTGAGGAATGATGGTGCAGACACCTTGTGAAAGTCACTTACTTACTGATTACTCATTGAAAATGTGACGGTTACTTTTCTGATTATTTGATTTTAAAAGTTGGATAAAAAAAAATTGTTTCGGCAGGCAACAGCCCCCACCATCCCAACATGTAAACCACAACTTGAGCAGGTCAACTATAACTGAGCCATTACCATATAAATGCACAAATTTGACATTTTGAAAACAAATGTGCTTGATGAAAACACAAATTTCAGGAAGGAAAAAAAAAAAAAACACTTGTTTTTTGATAAAGTTTTGCTGTTAGGATGAAGTGTTTTTTATGGCCATATTAAAATTGGTTTATTTCTCAAAACTTCAACGGAAACGCTTTCTCCCCCCAACCATCACGAGTCATGTGATCAACAACCGGACAAACCACGAAAATGTTACGTTACTCATTACGTTAAACTCACGTATGACAAAAGAACAAAAGGTTTTTCTGTTTCCCTTCGTTTCAAGGACATATGACCTTTAACCCCTGCAAAGAGGGAACGACGAACCTTTACATCGTCATCCTGAGCAGATGTCCCGTTTCCATCGATTACATTTGCGCCGCTACCTGGTGCCATACGAGACGTAAAGCCAAGTAACAATTCATGTTTTTACTAAATGAAATGACAAATACAGTAAATTTACAACAACTACAGGATTCAAGATGGTAATGTGTTAGATTGCTCGACATCACTGGTTCCCAGGAAGCAAAACAAGCCAAAATCATCCTCCATCCACTGCCATGCTTTTCTTTACAGTTGCCATGAAATTAATACATTGTTTTGTTTTCCGAACATCACCACTTATGTTCAGATATATTGTGTTTTATAGGTTCTTTCACGCCAGAGTTGCACCGTCATGTTCCATTCAGAAAGAAAAAGGCTTCTCCTTCAACCCCATCAAACTGAGTCGCACTTTGCATTTCGTTTTCTGACCGATTCAACAAACACTAACGAATTAAAGACGAAAAGTAATGAAAGACAGCAATGAAAGCGTGGATTTCCAAAGATCCTTTAAAGTGATGTAATGTACCATGTACACTACCTTACTGTTGTGCTAATTGAAGAACCCCCGCTTCAGAAACCAAAGACAAAAAAACCTACATTCGCAAATATGAGCAGGGATGGGTTATGAAAACAAAGGCTCTTGTTTTTATTGAATTACCTTTTCCCTTCCCCTCGTTTCCGAACGCATCTCCTGTTATTTCAGCTCGGCCTCCCGCGAGGTTGGACCAATTTTTTTTAATTTTAAGACAACAAAGAGCGTTTGTGCGAGTCGGGGAGAAGCGGAGAATACAAATAAAAGGCGAAAAAAGAAAAAGAGGAGTTTGCGAAGCGTGATGTGAACGGCTGGCCAGCAGGTGATTGGCCCCAGCGCTCTACCTTTGCGGCCTCAGTTCAAACAAGTGAATCAACACGAACTGGCACATGCAAACACAGATGGACAAGAGCATCAGGTGCTAATCAACCGCCTAAAGTGGAGTAAAGTTTACATTTTTGGGGGGTTATTTAAGCGGCTGTGGTTGAGAACTTTGAATTCTTCTCCAGTTCTCCCTCTCCATCCGTCACACTGGCTGTCACCCCATCCTCTGTCTCTCTCTCTCTTTCTCTCT